CTGAAAGAATTATGATAATATTCTATACAACAGTAGGATAATGTGTATCAATTTTACTGCAACTTTGTCACCAAAAAGCATTCACGCTTTTTTTTGGTGATTATTTACTTACTAGGTATCCCACGATATCTTAGCACACTTTTCTGTTAAATCTCAGAGAGTAAAAGAGTTGTTCCTTTAGTAAATTCATATTGGTTAAATAAACATAGGCTTGAGGAACTCTACTTCTTTATTCTTTAGCAGTTTATGTACTCTGGCCAAATAAGCTTACCAGTCCAGTTTTTTAAGAAAACAAGTTATTCAAGTTGCCTTGTTGCTTCTAATAATGATCAGCATATACATAAAAAAAGGGAGAAAAGAAAGATGCGTGTTACTCATACAACTGGCAATATATCTAATCAGATCATTATATTTATTCTTATGTTATAACAGCCAGAGATCACTGTCAAAGGAAATAGTACAGAAAAATCCAAAATTGTTCATTATGCAGTTGATCCTAGGCCTTGTCAAAGAGATCTTAGCAGGAAGACAAACCTGAACTTAAAGAGACAACTTACACAATGTATGTGACGGCTTTGGATATTTGTTCCATCTTTAATGAGATTATATAAAAGGACTTTGATTTACATTGCTTATTAAATTCTAAGTAAAAATAAACTGAACTATCTAAATGTTAAAATAGCAAAAAACAGTATCATGAATGAATAAAAGAAACTCAACAAAGTCTGAATCCCAGTCCTTCCTATATCACAAATGTGGCATCTAGAGCAGAGTTTTTCATGGCTCGTGGGTCAGGACCCATTCATGAGTCAGGAAGTCAAGTTAGGAATAAGCATTTTGTTTTTAATGAAAAAGAACAGAACATCACATGGCACATGAGCAAATATTGTTCACTTACAGATGTGTGGGCTGGTGCTGGGTGGTACCAGTAGTGTTTATGTATATATCAGGTCAAGAAATCAAATATATTTCTTACTATTAATGATAGTAAAATGATATTAAAAGCCACTCATTTAAAGTATATCACCTAACCTCTATGAAGTTGCTTGCTCATCTCTTAAATGGAAATTATCATTCTACTTCAGACAGTAGATCCAAATAAGGTAATTTTACAGCACCTTGTCAACTATAAAACACTGTATTAATACATTATAATTACATTATTTTGGTTGGTTTTTTTTTTAGAGTTTAATGTTTCTATGCCATATACACTCACAGCATAAAGTCACTCTGCTAGAAATCTGGACATACTGTATCAAAGAAAAATCCAAAAATGTAGTCTCCTAGTAAGTAAAGCCCAGACACAGGAAAACCGTCTCTTGAAATTTGTATAATCTCTTTTGTTGTACCTACTGTACAGCCTCTGGGGTGTGGGGTAGGGGGTGGCCAGGAACAAGACTAGAGAAAAAGTAGCATCTCTGTGTTTCTGTGGGGCCTCAGGAAGGAATCATAACCAAAAGAGGGAAACCTGTTTATAGGCTATTCCCACAGGAGGCCAGATCAAGGACATCAGCTGCCATCCCTCCACCCCTTCAGTGGCACTTCACTTGGAGATATAAATCACCACTCTTTGCTTCCCACTTAAAGTTTAGACTCCTGTGCCAGACTCTAAATGCCACAAACAATTCCAGGCGGCACATCGTTATTTAGCTATACATGTATCTGGACACATCACAGTATCACAAGTAGGAAACATTTTAAGGACACTGCTAAGAAATGGAAAACAGCTCAGAGGACAGCACACTCCCTCATAACTCTCCCACACAAGCTATCATTAAAGTACCCTTCTGAGGGAAAAGACAGTCTAAAGAACCCTAGGAGGTTCCTCTGCCACTGAAACAGAAGGAGCTTTAAAAGGAATAGGATTCCTACTCAGATGAGTTAAGAACACCACTTCAAGAGAAATGAGGCACAGGATAATTTGGAAGGACTCAGAGATACCAGCACTCAAATACTTAAATTTTAAAATAACATTGACTACCTTCAGAGCAGCTTGTTTTGACCTTTTTCTCATGAGTGTCCTGGTTTTTCCTACACTGAGCATTCCAGACCATATTCCCCCTCAAAGCTGAACCAGGCTCACACAAGTAAATTATCTGGCTGGGGTTGGGAGGTGCAGTTGGCAGCTCAGTAAGACTGACTAGCTCACCTGGGAACGCTATGCCTAAATGCCCACTGAACAAATGAATGCAAAAATAGATGTGCAACAGTCTTAACTTTCTCTGTGACTAATTCCACCTTTTTAAGAGAGGGGAGGTGAGTAAGACAGAGGAGAGCATGCAGGAGGCAGGTAGTAACAGTGAGGAATTTGGAGAGGGCGATCAAGAATGCTTTAGTCACTGCCCACAGAGTTCCTCCTGGAGAGGGAGAATGAAACAGACTGAGAAAGTGAGCAACCATCACCTCAGTTTGGCAGCTTGCCACATAGTTTTTGCTTACCTCTGATTTCTGATCTTAGTTAAAAACCATGTGGAATGTGTCACAGCAAAGTGTCTTTCTCATAACAATCTCTATGCTGTGGACATGTTCTCCTAACCAAAGGACACATTTGTCTGGAAAAGCCCTACATAATTAGTACTGGGAAGGACCCTGGATATCATTTGACCCAGAGACTGACACCCAGAAAGGATAAGCGGTTTACCTAAGGTCACACAGCTGTCAGCAGTACCTAAACAAGGACCAAGAGCTAACCAGAATCTCCCAAAATATGCCTCTCACTGTGCCTGCTAATATGTTTTCAAAGAAACAAGGTTCCCTATCTGTCAGGACTACAGCTTTATCACTATAGCTTTCTAATTTCATAGACCATAACACTCAGGTATATGACGAAATATACATTGTTTTAAGAGCACTGATCAACTAAATGGAGGAGACAGAACCCACACATTAGGTTTGAAAAAGAATTTCTATCTCTGATACATCTTACTACAGGTATGAAATTCAAGTAATTTTATCCATGTTTAGAGAATGTTACTTGAAGCAAACACAGATTTAAGGACACAGAATTATCTCCTCATAATTGATGGTAGATAAGAAACATCATTGTAGAAATACACCATTTGCACTTAAACTTCAGGTATTTCAAGTTACAGAAATTGATTTCTTTCAAAAAATGAGGAAACTGAATCACTACCTGGTAACTATTTGGGCCCATAAAACATATTTTCTTTAGTACTTATAAAAACTATATGAGAAAAGCACATACAGTAAACAAGGTTAAAAAAATTTTTGTGCAGCATAGAAAGCTACAAATAGTGCTCTTTATGGTGAGAAATAAAGTCCACACACAAATATCCTAGCAAGATTTTCACAACACACACACGCCTAACAGATGGATTCTAAAAAACAGTTACGCTTTCTATAAGCCAAATGCTCCAAAATTAATAATAAAAGATGATTAACATTCCTATATGGGTAATATTGTATAAATGAGCACAACAGACCCCTCTTCTCTCATCTCTCATCTCAACCTCCTCTTCCTAAAGGTGTGCTCACCCTTCCACCTCCCCCTACTCTGCAGCCAAATCACAACCACCCAAAAGCGAGATGTCTGCGGCAGCCCAAAACACTTGACTGATAATATCCGGTTTACCATTCCAGGAAACCCCAGAGTGTGTTTTAAGCCTCTGCCCACAGCTTGTAAAGAAAGGCGAGAGAAGAACTAATTGATACCAGCACCCCAGCTGTGACCTGGCACATAAAGAAACCGAGAAAATAAATCCCATCCATAATCTGTATAATTTAACACTTGGAAGAAAGCAACATCTGGGATGACGCCAAGCAGGACAGTGTTGCTAGATGGTCTGTGCTTCTACCGCTGAGTGTGAAACCCGCAGATCAGGGAAAGCTCCAGTTCCTCACCAATTCAGCAAAAGCAATGCCTTTTCCTAGCAAGGGTTAATCTACTCCCAAACAGGGAGAGAGTGAAGAGAATAACCAACAATACCTACTCCTTTCCAGAAGAGTGCCTGGCAAAGGTTCCCTTTATACTCTAAGTTGAGGGAAAGCTGGAACCCTTTCAGGAAGATGAGTCCAGGACAAACTATTGTCTCACTAACCAGCCACAGTCAGGAATGGAAGCTAATGTAAAATATGGGCATGACTTTTTTTAATCATACAATCTTTTCAGTGGAGTCCAAAGTCCTATCCCCAGGTGAAATTGAAAAAAAGAAAAAATCCCCTGTGACCATGACTCCCTGGAAAGGCTTTCCAAATTTTTTAATTATAGGAAAATGGATTTAGAACATAGGTAGATACCTACATATCATCTAAATCACTAAACCTGTACCCAATTAAAAAATGATAATAATAAAGTATTCCAGTCGGCAGGACGGGACATTATAGGAATAAGGATTGTTAATATAATGCATAATGCTTTCTCCCTGTTAGACCTTCTGAGAGGTTATAATTGTATTTGGCTACTGCCGGCTTGTCAGAGCCTGGCTTCTTAGTAGTCACAATCCTTAAAGGAGCAACTGTCAAGGCGACCCAGCTGAAATCAAACAACAAAAACGGGAACTGTAATCGGCCTGAAATGGGAGGAGGGAAAGGAAGGGAGACTCCCGTATTCATCAGTCAACATTAATGTCCTTTGTTGTTCACCTTTGCACAGCACAGCGAGCGCTACCCTGTTCCTTTCCCTCCGAACGCCAGTGTCGGGGTAGTCCTTGCCTAAAAGCTGTCTCTCCGCCTGGAAGATCCAGGCTTGCCGATTTCCCCTCCCCATTATCACTCTACAGCTGTCCTCCACCACCCCCCCACCACGCTCACCCCGGGCTGAAAGGGTGGCCAGAAGTAAAAACATCGCCGAAATACCGGTTCCCCTCCAAAGAACAGGGAGCCGAGCGGCGCAGACGTTGAAATGTACCAATGCCCCAGCCCCTCGGCACACACTCCGCAAACCCGGACGAGAGCGCGGAGGGCGCCGGGCCAGGTTCGGTCTGTCAGAGCGCCCCGGAGCACCGCGCCACATTCCGCACTCCGGAATGTCGAAGGGCGTCAGAGGGAAGGGTTTGCGCTTCCCTCTGTTTCGGGGGCGACCTCTCCGCGCGGCTGTGGTCTCTCCCAAGCCTGGGAAATCTTTGCAGCCCATTGCTGTCTTTGGGGAGAAGGGGAAGAGCGAGAGGAACGCCTTTTCCTCTCCCCTTCCAACTTGACACACACGCCCCGTCGCCACTCCAAACTCCGCAGGCAGAGCCCGCAGCGGGCCGGCTGGCCGCGCGCGCCCCTCAGCTGTCCCCGCGCTCCGGGGACCCGTGCGGGGAGCGCCAACCGGGTTCTGAGGAGCGAGACCCCGACGCGCACCCCTCTGCCCGGCGCTGGTTCGGCAAAGCCCCAGACCCGCAGCTCGAAGCCAGGATTAGGCATTTCCTGCCGCGCGGAGCGAGAGGGGCGCGGGGGCAAGGACGCGAAATGCACAGCCACTCCGGCCGAGAGGAATAAAAGTTCGCCCCGCGGAGACTTACCCACGCCGTATTTCTCGTGCTCCGTAGGTATCCACATGGCTAGAGCGGGTCCGGGGGTCTCTGCTTTGTAATCCCCGCGCCTTCTCCGACACAATGCACGGTTCCCGAGCAGTGGCTGCAGCGCTGGAGCCCGGCGACTCCGCGCGGGCTGCGGAGGCTGGGCAGGGTCTGCGCTGGAGACTCCCGAGTCCGGCGTTGACACCGCGCGCCCAAGGCTGCGCCGCCCGCAGCTCTGCAGGCGGCGGCTGCTCACAGTGCCCGGACGCGCTCTTGGGGACCCAGCGGCGCAGTCATTGTTCTGATTCACTGAACTAAGCGAACACGCCGGGGCACTCTCGGGCGCACCCCCGCCCGCCGGCGCCCCCACCGGCGCTGCCCGCCCAGCGCACCGCAGCACGCTGGGAATCGTAGTTCAGAACGTCTCCGTCCCGGAAGGGGGCGTGGCACCAGGACCTGGGGGCGGGGAGTGGGCCCCGCCCGCCAAGCCCTATTGGCCCAGAACGTGTCGCCGAGGCGTGGGCGGGGAGGAAACGGCGCGTTGTCCGGGAGTTCGCCTGCAGACGCGTGTCCATTGGCTCGGAACCTCACCGCGGCCCTCCCTTCATTGCTCAGCGGTGTAATGGCTGCTTCCAAGGCCCAGGTGGCTGCTACCCAAGGGGAGGAGGGCGGTGAGGGCAGCCGTAGCCGAGCCGGGAGTGTCAGTTATGGGGGTGAGTACAGGGGTCCTGAGGTGCAAGTGCTTTGCTTACTTCTCCCTCCGACCGGGAGTGCAGGTGATGGCCAGGCGGCCCCCGGGCGCCTGCCAGCCCTAGAGCCACCTGGACTCTGGGGTGCCCAGGACGGGACTCAGCGGGACGCGGTGAGGTCGGAGTCAGCTTCTTGGTGGGGGCTGTCTGGGAAGGGAAGAGCCAACGGGTTGAAGTGGCTTTCCCCGGAACGCTCCCTGAGCGTTTGGTCTTCCCGTTTTAAACTCCCAGCTTTGCACTCGCTATCAGCTGGGTATGAGTCAAGTCAGGTCCGCGCATGTGTGGTTGTAACTCCGGGATTAGCAGTTTTTCCTTGACAGTGCCCAGCCCCCGCCTTCGGGTGATTGGTGTGGCCTTAGAAGAAAAGTTTCATTTGGGTTTGAGCGGATTTCCAGTGGCTGACTGGCCACTGCTCCCAGCTCTACGGATTTGCTCCGTCTTTGAAAGGGAAGTGTGCCTCTCTTAGTCTCCCCTGTCACTCGTTGACTGCCCGTGTCGTTCTCCAGCATAATGTGGAGGCTGACAGATATTCCCAGGCTGGGTCCTTAGAGAACGAGAAAGGGAAGAAGTAATTTACTGCCGTGGCTTCAGAGAAAATTTGAAGGTAGTTTGGAAAATCGTCACCACTGCCTTCGCTCTACTTGACTTTCAGGTTGTCTGATCCACTGCAGAAGTGAAAAAACAAACGTTGAAAGCTCAAGGGCATTGTCTTTAGGATTACTAGCCCCATTCTTTGACTTTTAATTTACCTAGCCCCATTGCCTCCACTCCCTTCTTTCTTGCTTTGAAATTTAACAACACAGCAGATTGTCTTTTCCTAATGGACATTGTCTGGGGCTTAAATTTTGGTTCTCGGTCCTTGCTGAGGCTTTTTGTTTGTTTGTTTGTTTTCAGCTTTCACGGCTAAATAGACTTCGTAAGTTTTGATCTCAGCAGCACTGAGATAAAATGCAATTTCTTTTCCACTTCCCACCAATGGAGCTTCCTAACTGAAGTAATTTCAATACCTCTACCAAAGAAGCCTTTGCTAGTCTCTTAACTTAAATATTGAGTTAAACCCACACCCTAAACAGTTCATTTTGGGTTTGACCATCTAGTTGGCTCTTCTGATGGTAACACAGTATTAAGGTTTTCCAGATTCTCAAAGTTTCAGAGGGCTACCTATTTAACATTTAAAGATGGAATCTCTGGTGAATTTATCTCACAGATTAATTCATAAAATGGAAGTAAATTGGGTATGCCTTTCAAAAACATTGTAGAACGTTTAAATGTCATTAGTCATCTTAAAACTATAAAAGCTTTAAACACTTCAAACCATTCAGAAGTGTGTAAGGTAAAAAATGAAGATTCCTTCACCACACAGCCCCACTCCCAAAGTAACAACTGGTAAGGGTTCAGTGTGTGTTCTTTTGGTCATATTCCTGTATGATCCACATCTGTATGGTCCTGATTTTCTAAAAATAAAAAGGGATCATTCTATGTAAGCTCAAAGATCTGCCACCTTCTTCTTTGTCCCAGTGATCTGTTACTATATTACAAACACTCATCCTTATCAGTACATTTATTGCTTCATTCTTTTTAAAGACTATGCCTATTGTATTCCATAATATAGATGTGCCATACTTTAACCATTCTTTCATTAATGAACATATAGTGTTGCTTTAGTTCTTCAGTAATGTTGTAGTGAACAGCTTTATATATATGTATATATATATATATATAGTATATGAGTATATATAGTATATATATATAGTATATATAGTATATGAGTGTCCTTTTCCCAATATCCTTACCAACTGTGAGGAAAACATTAATCAAGGACCAATGTTTAAATGACTGTTGGATTGAATTGAGTAACTGATCTCATACTTTTAGTTTCCAGTTTGTTTTCAGCATAAGTATTGAGCAGCAATAAATTTGCAGTATCTGTAACAAAAAAAAAAATTCCATACCCTGGTTCATGGCTGCCCAGTGTACTCATTTGTGACAGTCCATAGGAAAGCTTAATGGTTAATTTTTATGCCATAATTATAATGTAAATTTGTCATTAAAAATCCCCTTAATAACCTGCATATCATTCTGTGACTTTATCCAAATTTTTTCTAAAGCTTGTAAAGTGTGATACAAATTTTGGTTGGAAATAATAATATTTAAAAGTATATTCATATATTTTGGTTAAACGGCCATTTAGTTTTATCAAGTATGTCTTTCCCTATAAAATCATTAATTTCTTGAAAACTGCTTCTTTTAACAGGTTTTCCTCTAATTCTAATTAAAATGTCAACCTCTGTGTTTCATATCCTGGGACAGAAGGAACTGGAGAGTGTTGTCATAGAGGCCCTTGCTCTTCTACAAGGTTTCTGTTAGAATGAGTCACTGGAGTTTGCAGGCAGGACAGCACCTCCTCCTGAGATCTGTGTTGCCAGGTCTTTAAGGCTCCATCCCTCTCCAGAAAGTCTCTGACCTAGCACAATGCTGGCTTTCCACACATTTAAACAGTAAATAACAAGGCTTCTATATTGTGCCCTAAGATTAAGAACAGATAGTAAATAGACTCAACATTTCTCACACTTGTGGGGAATACATAGTGGGTTTTTTTTGTTTGTTTGTTTTGCTGTTATTAGTTAGAAAACAGTAAGATGACACATCTATAGTTTATAATTCACAATACTTCTAGGAAGCTTCTGTGGTGGAGGTGATTCCTTCTGACAGTGTTAGCCTGTGCCAGAATATTGTCATATTCTGACAGAGCCAACTGTTCTCCCTGCAAAGGCAGGCCCAGTAGACGATGATCATGGTAAGCTACCTAGGATTTATAATGCTTTTCCTCTGGAGAATTTATTAACTCATTTGTGAAGCCTCTAGAGAAATGAAGTAGCAGGTGATATCAACTCATTCATTTATTTCCTAGTTACATAAATGGCATCAAACCTTAGGTAGAAACTAGGAAGCATACTTGATTCCTGTCTTGCCTTCAGGTCCTGAATCTGATCAATTACTTTGTCTTATTTTTCTGTGCCTGAAATAATCTTTTGAACCTGTTCTTTTTCTTCATCTCTTCAGCCACTATTCTGTTTCTAACCCTCACCATTACTGCTGATTTACCTGTGTCCCCCACCATCCAGATTGTGCTTTTGGGACCAAAACCTTGTCAAATTTGTTTTCATCTGCCTAACCCTGTTTTTGGCATTTCATCAATGTCTAATAAATCTTTGACCAGAAAGGAATTCTAGCCTGAATGATTGCAGAACTTTCCTATCGATCTCATTGATTCTTCATTTTCCACCTTTTATTTTCCCACTTTTAATCCACGTAATAAAATGTGTTCATGGGTCTTCACTTCAAATCTTCAGTGGAACTCTACTGCATGTATAATTAGGTCTAAATTCTCAGCTTGGCCTTTAAAGTTCTAATCTACTTTTCCAGCCTCATCTCCAGTCACGCTGCTTTCCTTCACAGATCTCCGTTATCACACTCCCATGTCAGACTGCAGTTACTTCTTGGCAGCTTTGTCTACGCCAGCAGATCGTGAACTTCTTGAGGGCAAAAGTTGCCTTATTTTACTTTATACATGCAGTGCTTATCAGAGCTGTGTCTATGTAGTAAACACTCTGTAACAGTTTAATGGTTAGGTTAGACTCTGAGGTTTATTCAAAGTTCCTAAAATGGCAGCTATTTTAAGGAGAGGAATGAAATAGAATTAAAAAACTGAGTAGATGTTTTGTACTTGTGAAACTTACACCAGCTGGAAAATGCAGAATATCATCGTGAATATAATACTGTGAGAAGTAATCATAGTTAGCATTTTAGCATAGGTTTTCAGGGTTTTTTAAGACAAATAAAGTTGTTTAGATAATGATTAAATTTCTTAAAAGAATACTTCTTCTCTGTCCTATATAACCTTGCACTGATAACTGAATGAAGTACTACATAAACCCTGCAGTCTGTCTTCATAATCATCTGATTGGCCTTATCCAGTTTTCCACAGATTGTTGTCTAATTTCCAGCGCTAATGCTTAAGTCCAATCTCGTATTTCACATGACAGTGGAAAAAGGTCTACACCCTTTCTTGGAAATACTGTTTAAATTTCAGTTCTGACATTTAGTACATGTGTAACATTATTTTATACATACGCTGCTACATTTATGAAAATAGAGGTATAGTTTCATTGCAGTATGAAACTATAGATATAGATAGAATTATCTACAGTTTCATATATAGTAGAAATACAGATTTCAGAATTATTGTGATTATTTCATTTAATTTATGAAAGCCC